CATCTAGGGGGTGGAGATTGGTAGGTTTAGGGGTGGAGATGGGTGGGTTTAGGGATCAGGGGGTGGAAACGGGTAGGTTTAGGTATATGTAAGGTGGGAGGAGTTGGACCACATCCACATCCCCTGGATCTTGTGTTCTGCAGTGAGGACCATATCAATTACTATCCATACTCAATTACCATCTCCATTACTAATATATATATATATATACATACACACACACACACACACACACACACATACACAAACAAGTATAAAAAGTTTCAAAATTAAAAAATATGAAATGCAATAAGAAATGTCTATAAATATAATTATATAATTAAACATTACTGTTATTACTGTTCAAAAGTTTGGGGTCAGAAAGAGTTTATGGTTTTGAAGGTTTCTTATGCTCAGCATGTCTGCATTTATTTGATCAAGAATACAGTAATAATTGTAATATTGTGAAATATTATTGCAATTAAAACTGTTTTCTATTTTAATATATAGGCTATTTAAATATAAGCGTCACATGATCCTTCAGAAATCATTCTAATAGGTTGATTTGAAGCTCAAGTAACATTTCTTATAATTATCAATATTGAAAACAGCTATGCTGCTTAATATTTTTGTGGGAACCATAAAAAAAAACATTTTTGATTAATAGAAAATTCATAAGAACAGTGTTTATTTTAAATAGAAATCATTTGTAACATTATAAATGTCTTAACTGTCATTTTTAATCAATTTAATGCACCCTTTTTGAATAAAAGTATTAATTAAAAAATGACCCCAAACTTTTGAACAGCAGTGATAATACATGTAATAATACATATAATACAAATAATACATGTTTTTTTTATTATATAATTAATTATATAAATATAAAATTATATAAAAATACCTAAAAATTTACATTTGAATAAGTTTTCAGTTTTTTTTTTGTACATTTAAACAAATCTTCCAGATAATATTTCAAAAACTTATTTACCATGATTTAGCTTTGGTATGATGACAAATAAAAGCTCATTATTTTATTTTGCATTCATGATGTTGTCTTATCAAAATTGGTCTGTATACAGGTGCATCTCAATAAATTAGAATGTCGTGGAAAAGTTCATTTATTTCAGTAATTCAACTCAATTAAAAGAACCAAAGACTTAAACTACTTCAGTCTGTGTGCATTGAATTTATTTAATACACGAGTTTCACAATTTGAGTAGAATTACTGAAATAAATGAACTTTTCCACGACATTCTAATTTATTGAGATGCACCTGTACATGAAATGGGTCTGTATACATGAAAATTTAGAAAGGAGTATTAAAATGCTGAAAAATCCTGATCACACACAATGGCATCACAATAAAACTTATATTGATACGAGTGGTTTTTTTATATTTTTTAGATGTGTGACTTATTCAAGTCAGTCAGATTTATGACCTTACAGTAGATTGAACAAGTATAACCTAGAGGTGTCTGTGTTTATGAGGTAAAAGGTTGAACTTTGAGAGTCAGAAGACATACAGGAACCTGTCTAGGGCTAAACATCTTTGGTTACTCTTCTACTCTGTGCTATCTGTTCTGTCCCACTCATAATTGCTAGAGTAAACAAAACGTTCTGCCTTTGTCCCACTCAACAGCTAAGCAGAGAGTCCGTAATTATGCCTTAAAATCATTAATTTACCCATAATCCCCTCCCCTTTCACATCTATAATGAGACATAAACTCCCGCACACTAATCTACCCTGAGTTGAGCTCTGTTCCTCACAGTAACCCCCCACCGGCCCGGACACTGGACCAGCTTCAGGACACAGCAGGTATGAGCACAGAGGTTAGCCAGGGTTATTCCAGAGGGAGCACAGCAAATTCAGTCGAGCTGAGGCATCTCTTCCTGGGCTCCATGGAAAAGTTTGTGCTTTAAGCAGTTTAAAAGTGGACCTTTTAATCCAGTGCGGACCTGAAGTGCATTTCCACCTGAAAGCCTGAGGAATTTCAGAGCTGATTATACAACAAAGCATAACAGTTTCTCTATGTACCTCTCCTATTGAGAATCACTTTCTAATTCCATTTGATTTAGGGAGAAAATCCAGGACATCCTTCAAGCCACAACAGGTGCGCATGCTTTTTATGCTCATATGTGAATCTTTTCTTTTTAGTTTATTTTAATTGCATTTAAGGTAATATGCTTATGCATATGCATAGACACACTAAATATTTGATGCATAAACAATTTCCATTTAGAAATTGCTAGTATTTACTAATTAATTACAAAGAAACAGCCAGTAATGCAGTGCATTATGAAATTTTGAAGTAGAAAGATTGAAATAGTCCTTTCTTTTAAAACAACCTTTGAGAATTTTTATTTTTTCTCAAATCAAAATATATTTGCATCTGTATAATCTAGTAATATATATCTGACACACTAGTGCTTTTAATCATTTGGATAAGCACATCTGCTAAATGAGTATATTTAAATCTGTTATGTTGGAATATAATTGTTTTGTGACTGCAATGTAATTTTATTTTGATTAATGCATAGCATGACCTATTTCAGAGTCTATAATTGTTTGTTTTTTTTATCAGGGTTTTTTCATACCTTATCTTTATGTTCCCACAGATACATTTTACAACTGACTTGCGCCTCAAGGCAGAACATTGGGTTATAAACTCATTCAAACTCATATCTCAAACTCAAACTCATAAACTCATATTCATCACATGAATTGTGATACCTGTGGTAATTCCTGTTGTTGTTGACTTCTGAGCCATGGCTTTTTCTGACCTGCTGGAGCAGGTTGGCAGCACAGGGCGCTTCCAGGTCGTGCATGTCACCCTGTTGAGTATGCCCATCCTGATGATGGCCAGCCATAACCTGCTGCAGAATTTTGTGGCCGCTGTGCCACCGCACCACTGCGCCCCCCACGCCAACATTTCAATGTCCTCCATGAGTGCTAGGGACGTGCTGCAGGCCACTGTGCCCTTGGGCACAAACGGCAAACTGGAACGCTGCAGACGCTACGCACATCCTCAATGGCAGCTTCTGAGCAGCAACAGTTCAGAGATCCTATGGGAAGAGGGTGTGGAAGAGATAGAGATGCAGAGTTGTGAGGATGGATGGTACTACAACACGACAGAAATGAGTTCAACTATCATTACTGAGGTAAATGGTAAAAGGTCTAGCATTACCAATGCAATAATTTCATGATTTTTTTAGATGCATCTTCTAAATGCAAATACTTGGGGTCACAGCACTCTTTAAAATAAAGGTTCCCAAAGGGGGTTTTGCAACAATGGCTTTGAAGGACCATTTTGGGTTCCCAAAAGAACCTTTCACTGTTAAGTTCGTCAAAGAAACATTTTTTCGTTGTGCCCATGCTGAAGAAACCAGTCTAAGGTAGCCTAAGGTCTTCCAGGCTTATCAGGCTGGTTTTACAGTTTTTTTGACCATTTCCTTAGCTAGACATGTTGGTCTGGTCAGGCTGGGAGACCAACCAACTTAGTCATGCAGAGACCAGCTTGACCAGCTTAAACCCACTAAAACCATAGACTGGCGTTAGCTTTCTTTTTTTCCAGCAGGATTTTAACAATCTAAATATCATTTTCACCCTTCAAAGAACGTTTTATGCAATGCACTCTTAAAAATAAAGGTTCCAAATGGGATTTTTCACAGTGATGCGGCAATTTTTGGTTCCTCGAACCTTTCAATTATCATTTCTTAGTGTGAGGAGCATTTTAATAATATAAAATAATGTTTTTCCACTATAAAGAATTTTTTGTCCAATGGAAAGGTTCCATGGATGTTCTTCATGGAATCATCAATGCCAACCTTCATTTTTAAGAGTGTATATGAGCTCTGCCTGTCCACAATGCTATATATGCAAACAAAACACAGTCATAATGTTTATCATGTGTGTTTTTAATCGAATGTTTGTTTGTTTTTTTATCTTTTAGTGGGATTTGGTTTGTGACCAGCGTGCCCTAAAGCAAATGAGTCAAACTACCTATATGGGAGGCGTCCTTGTGGGAGCAGTACTTTTTGGGGGACTTTCTGACAGGTTGTGACAGGTTTTACTATTAAATACGACAGCAACAACAATATTATCATCGTAAACTCTGTTATATTACACCTTCTGACCCAGAAATGAGGTAAAATTTCCGTCTTCTGTTGCAGGTTTGGCCGGCGTGTTTTATTGTTGATCTCTAACCTGATGATGGCGGTTGGAGGAACATGTGCTGCCTTCTCCACCTCCTTCACCATGTTTTGCATATTCCGCGTTTGCTGTGGCATGGCCCTGTCTGGTTTGGTACTCAACTCCTTCTCTCTAAGTGAGTACAGTGAATAACAGCTGGAAATTGGAGGTTGGCACCTATTCAATGTGTAGAGAAAAAAACATTGCATTTGACAGACATTGTATTTGGCGACATCTTGTGGAATGAACTGTCATTGTTTCTTCTCCTCAGTTGTGGAATGGATCCCCACGCGTGTGCGGACGGTGGTGGGCACAGGAACGGGCTACTGCTACACCACAGGCCAGCTGATCCTGGCAGCCGTCGCTTACTGCATCAGAGACTGGCGCTGGCTCACACTGGCCGTCTCTCTGCCTTTCTATGTGTCCTTCCTCTACTCATGGTGCGTTTCCTTTCCACTTTTAAAATATGTCAAGTACGTTACAAGTGCTGTCAGTATTTGCTACTTCTTTTTTGGTTACATAACAAATACACTACAAGTAAAAACTTTGGGTCGGTAAGATTTAATAATTTTCCTCTGTTGTCTAAGATATAGTAAAAACAGTAATGTTGTGTTATATTAGGCTATAACAACATTTTTTTTTATTATTTTAATTATTTTTTTTTCCTGTAATGGCAAAGCTGAATTTTTAGCAGCCACTATTTCAGTCGTCACACGATGCTTCAGAAATCATTTGAATATGCCTATATTGTGCTCAAGAAACATTTTTTAAAATTATTATTATTAGTGTTGAAAAGGATTGTGTATGTTTGTGGAAGCGAATACTTTTTCAGATTTTTTTAATAGAAATAATTTGTAACAATGTGAAAGTGTTTACTGACACTTTTGATCAATTTCTGAATAAAAATCTAAATGTTTTTTTGTTTTTTTTAATCGTATTAACCCCAAACATTTGAACGGTAATGTATATTAGTGTTTAATCTTTTAAATAAATTAATAATATTAAGTAGTAAATAATTGAAATAATAATTAAATAACATTTATTTATTGCTATTTTAGTAATAAAAATACATTATATTATAAATAAATATTATATTATACTAATTTTACTAATAACAATGATTATTCATTATTTAAATAATTAAAATAATTATTGTAAACCAAATGACAATTTGCACAAAGCAATCCTCAACACATTATGCCTATATAAAAAAATGGCTATTAAAAACTCCTTGTAAGAAGTCATCCACTTGAAAATCTGTGTATATTTGGCATATATGACCCTGGAGTACAAAACCAGTCATAAGTCACATGGGTAAATTTGTAGCAATAACCAAAAATACATGGGTCAAAATTATCGATGTTCCATGAAGATATTTCGTAAATTTCCTACCGTAAATATATCAAAACTTAATGTTTGATTAGTAATATGCATTGCTAAGAATTTCATTTGGACAACTTTAAATATGATTTTCTCAATATTTAGATTTTTTTGCACCCTCAGATTTCAGATTCTCAAATAGTTGTATCTCAGCCAAATATTGTCCTATCATAACGAACCATACATCAATGGAAAGCTTATTTATTCAGCTTTCAGATGATGTATAAATCTCATTTTCAATATGATTTTGTGGTCCAAGGTCACATATGTAGCAGTATGGGATCTGATGCAGTGGATTCTAGTCACATTATTATCTTCTGCAGGTGGTTCTTAGAGTCTGCTCGGTGGCTGGTCCTGACCAAGAGATCAGAGCAGGCAGTAAAAAACCTCAAAACGGTGGCTCGCATAAATGGACGGCATGCAGAAGCTGACAAAATCAACCTTGAGGTATGACATTATGTACTGTATGACGTATCAATTTCAGCATCGCCTGGGTCATTCCGAATTCTTATTCTGTTGTGGTTGTGCATGCAGATGTTGCAAGAGTCCATGAAGAAGGAGAAGGCCTGTTCGAAGGGGTCTTACAGCGCTCTAGACCTCCTGCGCACATCCTCAATGAGAACCATCACCGTGTGCCTCAGCGCAGTCTGGTCAGTCATTCAATCCTAGCATTTCATTCAGTACCAACCAGCATTTGAAAACGACCACACTTTTGACCTTTGAACTGTAACATCTTAGGTTCTCAACCAGCTTCGCCTACTACGGCCTCTCCATGGATCTGCAGAAATTTGGGGTCAGCATTTACCTTATCCAGATCATCTTTGGAGCGGTGGATATACCAGCCAAAATCTTGGTTACGATATCCATGAGCATGTTAGGACGAAGACCATCTCAGTGCGGAGCTCTTGTACTGGCTGGTGTAATCATACTCATTAATCTTCTGGTGCCTTATGGTGAGAATTTGAGCTTCGCTGGCAATAGAGCACGGTAATAATAAAATTCCAGTGAGATCTGGAGGTTTGTCTGTCCTTCAAGATCACAGAAATTGAGACCCTGGCATTTCGAGTTTGACATTCACATGGCTGATCGTGTACCTATGTATACGTGACTCTTGTTTTTGTGCATGTGCAGACCTGCAAGTGTTACGCACCAGTCTGGCAGTGATAGGGAAGGGCTGCCTGGCTGCGTCCTTCAACTGCTGTTACCTGTACTCTGGAGAGCTGTATCCCACAGTCATCCGGTAATTAGCTAGTGTCAGCATCAAACTAAAACAACAACAATTACCTACGATTCAGTTTAATCGCACTTGTCCACAAGGTCGAAACCATGTCTTGGACGTTGGGGGTGGCGGTAGTAATAGTCTTATAATAGTCTTAAATAATTCAATAATTTAAATGGATTTAAGAGGATAAAGAAAAAGAAAGAAGAAGAGTAATTAAAATTATTGCTTTTTTGTCAAGTAATCAATTTGAACTACTGCAATATTTTTTTTGAACACATTCATAAGTATTAAGTGATTGTGTGCATATTTCGAAATAAAAATTTTGCAAAATTCTTTGCAAATAGTTCAAACTGATTACCCTTAAATCCATTTAAATCCTTTATTTAATTCGGTTAAGTAAAAAGAATCACCTGATTTGTAGTAGTCTTTTTATTTAAAGGACTTCGGTGAAAAAGAAAGAAGAACAGTAAAAGAATAAGAATATATATTTTTTGGATGATAATTGAAGGATTGCAAAGAAAGAAAGAAGAAGAGTAAAAGGACAAGAATAATATTGTCTTTGAAAATGAATAAATTAAAAAAATTGGAGAAAAGGATTTTGCATTTTTGAAATATATGCACAGATTAATTCTTATTCATAATGCAAAATGACAGTGTTTCTTGTCACGTAGGCTAAATGATTCTTACTATATTTAAAAAAAAAGTGTAGTTTGCATCACTGGATTTTGGTTATTTATCTTTTTTATTGTAAAAGGGTTGTCTAATATCAAATGTTTAGCTACTTACATCTAACTTTTAAAAATTTGTAAAAAAAAAAAAAAATTTGAGAGCAGTAAATCCTGCCTGCCTTCTTTTATTTTACTAGTCTTAGCCATTTTGACATTGACAAGCACTTTTAGACCGCTGAGGCAGATCAGCCTAATAATATAACTTTTTAAACCTTTTGGCATCTTAACAGCAAACAAAGCATTATCAAGAATAGGATATATTGGGAGAGATCATTTGTCCATTTTTAATTAGTAGGAGTGACTTATCCCCTTCAATATCTATGGTTACGGCCCTGCATTGTCTATCACTTTGTTTCTTTTTGACAAGATCCACAGATATTTTTCAGAATAAGTGATGTCAACTTGTGTAATTTTCTTCTGTGTCCTCTCAGTCAAAACGGAATGGGATGGGTGTCCATGATGGCTCGGTTTGGAGCGATGGTGGCCCCCATGGTGCTGCTTCTTGGGGAGGATTTCCCATGGCTGCCTGGTTTTATCTACGGAGGAGCTCCGATTCTCAGTGGGATCTTCGCCTTCTTTCTCCCAGAAACCCTTGCACAACCTTTGCCTGATACTATCCAGGATGTGGATGATAGGTAAGCTGGCGGTGGCCTGATTCACATTAAAGTTTTGTGCTAGTTGGATCTGATCAGATGCAATGATGCATGATGCATATGTCGCAAGAGAATGTTGCGTCAGAAGTTAAAGTGTAAGTGACATGAGCGAAGTTTCATGTGTAAATGGGTAACCATAACATGTTTTTCGACTCTTTCACTTATTACAGAGGTTTTGCATGGAAAAAAGCCAAAAGATTACCTGAAAAAGAGGATTTGTCCAAGAAGGATCCCAGCTGTGTTCTCCTGAAAGAGTCTGTCTGAGATGGTCACTTTACAGCATCTAAAAGAGTTTTGGAACACAAATAGAGATGATCATTGCCATACAGAAGAGAACTTTAGAGTTAATATGATGAAAACAACCAAAAGTTATGTTATGTTAAGTTTCCTTGAATTTGAATGATAAATGTTGTGGAGTATCTACTTATTTTTCTGACTGTAATTAATATGTTAAAAATATTATTTACTTGTACAGAGTGAGAGAAATAGTGCCTTGAATGGAGCTTTTTGCTCTTTAGAAATCTACTGTTTTATATATATATATATATATATATGTATGTATGTATGTATGTATGATTTTTTTTGTTTGTTTGTTTATTACATGAATGATGTAAAGAAATAAAGCAACAGAGAACACAAATTGTAAAAGATTGTGGTTTGTGTTTGTTATTTGAATACCTATAAGCTCTTTATGTAGTCTGTAAAACGCATCCAAAGTACGAACAAATATCTATTATTTTGTAAAACAATTACAGTACATGTCACTGTCATTTAGCTTGTTGACACGTGATACAATGGTTGATTACATAAACTTGCAGGCAGATTAAATTATTATTTTGTATTTAAGTATTAAGTCAGTAAATAAACGAGTGAAACCAAAGTTATTTTGTCAAAAGGGCTATATCTCAAATGCTTTTTTTTCTAGCAGTGGTTGCATGCTGGTTTCAGAAGATTAAATGTTAAATTACATTTTCATTCGATTTCTTTAGATGTTTTAAAATAAATTCTATCATTACATATATTCCAATATAGAACCTTGTCACAGACTGTGATGACATTTCCATAGTTATTACCATCATACATCTACCAAAGTTTTCATTAAAAAATAATAAATAAACATTTATAACGCTATACTTTGTGTTAATTACCATGGCATTAAATTAGTAAACAATGCTGCAAGATATTTCTAACACAACGGCTGAGGAAGAGATAATAAATTCGACTCTACATTTTTTTTTTTTCCTTTTAAAAAATTGTTGAAACACTACTGTGGATTTTTTGCAAATGGGAATGCAAAAATCCTATTTTCTGTAGTCTCCCATTCACTACTATAAAAGTCTACCCATCTGATGACTGCAGCTTCTGAGAACTCCAGAACTGTGAAAAAGGGCCTTCTGTCAGATTTATAAAAGCTTTTGTCGTGAGTAAAGAAGGGGACACAATAATACTGGGATACAAGTGTCAATAATAATGAAAGTGGATTTGAACAACTGAACCGAGTCCTCAGAAAAAAACATGCTTTTCATGATTTAAATATATGGATTGTAAATCTTCCTTCACTTTTCTGTCAAATCTGCACGGTCATATCTAACCCAAGCATAAAAATACAATCTTTTGGCAAAAACAGTTTGATATCTTTTACTTTTTTCTCTGTTTTATTGTTTTGTGCTATAACTAAAATACTTTTTCAATGTATTTGAAAATCCATTAAATGGACTACAGTATAACATTTAGTTATAGACTCCTAATGTGGCAACTTACAACAAACTGTGATGAATAAGACCACGTGTTCATAAAGGGTCTATGTGTGTAAAACAAACTTTTTTTTTCCCCTAATGTTGGAAATGTATAATAAAAAACTTTTTCTAGGCAAGACTATGTCAATGCTTATACAGAAACAGAAAACTTGATAACCTGACCTGAAAATTGCGAAAACTAGGACAATTATAACATTAAAAGGTGTTAATTTGTCTTTTGACACAGGTATGCATGAAGCAACAGAAAGAAAAAAATTGCCTACAAATTTGCCCCACGTCCTGTGAATTTTGGGTGATGGCGTTGCCCTTACTCCTTAGTAGTTTAACAATAAATAGGTTATCTTTTAATAGTATGCAGACAAGGATCTGAATGAATTACTTGCTATTTTGCGTCAGCTGGCACATATTACTAGGTTCATCAGGTTTTATGAAGCCAGATTATGAAAGAGGTAAAAGATTGTTCAGTGACCATTTAACTATATCACGACGAAAAAAGAGTGTCACTGTTACATAACTACACGAACGGAATGAATAATCTTAATAACGTATAACTGGTGTCGGTGCAAGATTGTTTATTTTTAACAGACTAACTAAAAATGGTTAACGCGCAAAAAAAAAACTACAACTCCCACAAGCATGCGGATGTTACCCATGAGCCTTGCTGCAGATACAGTTTACGACAGCTAGTGTAAGCATTCTTTGTTGTTATGATTTTAAAATACCCCAAATCTCATGAAAATCACATACCAGTTATATAGGCTATTGTCGTAATTGTGTGCTTATTACCTTCATGTTTGTGTGTAGAAACATTTCTCTGGGTTTGTTGTGGACAGACACAACGCGGAAGTGTAAGGGAAGCTTCGGAAAAGATAGGGCGGGTTATGAGCGTGTAATATGAGTGACAGATGAACAGCGAATGAGCTTCATCTGAGTCAGAGCAGCTTTGCTCATCAGATTGTGTAAACCAGTGGAAAATGAATAGAAATTACGATTCTGTCTGAAGAAATATAAAGTAAACGTGTAAATATATCAATATTTCTCCAAGTATGCACACTTTTGGACTATAAGCCCTTTCTGATGCTGTTCAGTGAAGATGCAGGCACGTGCACAGGTAGAGCTCAACCTGTGCAGAGCACATGCCCTTTTTGTCCGTGCACTCCGAAGTGTTTTTTTGTTGTTGTTCTTCTTCAATAAATCAGTGCTATTGGTCACCCTTTACGTCTGTCTGTCTGTCTGTTTTACAAATATATTTAGCGAATGAAAGGTATTAAAAAGAGTTACCTTGGCTAAATCTTGTTGGAGCCGCTCAAACTGTCAAGTCAAACCTCATAACTCCACCCCCTGTCTTGACTGATTTGAGTGCAGTGAACTGAAGTTCCACAGCAGAGCAGCTGAAGTCTTGCAAGGGTAAATAAATATCTTCTTGTTTGTATAAGTACAGCGTTGTCTTTACGCAAGAAACACTACGTCGTAATTGCATTTTTACTAGTAACAATTCAATTAGAGAGCTCTACAATTAAATTCTTACTAGTAACAATGCCAGTTAGAGAGCTCTCTAAATCTATTTTAACTAGTTATAAATACAATAAGAGAGCTCTCTAATTTAATTAGAGAGCTCTGCAATTGCATTCTTACTAGTAACAATTATGATTATAGAGCTCTCTAATTCAATTCTTACCAGTAAGAATTGAATTAGAGAGCTCTCTAATTGAATTAGAGATCTCTAAAAATTCCATTGTTACTAGTAAGAATTAAATTAGAGCTCTACAATTCAATTCTTACTAGTAAGAATTACAATTACAGAGCTCTTTAATGCAATTTTTACTAGTAACAATTGAATTTGAGAGCTCTCTAATTGCCATTGTTACTAGTAAGAATTTAATTGTAGAGCTCTCTAACTGAATTGTTACTAGTAAAAATGCAATTACGACGAGTAACACTGGGATTATTTTAA